TACGTGCTTATGAACAGGTCCTGCGCCAATACGAGGGTATGCTGGCAGTTTACTCCGAGTGCTCTTGTACTGTTCTGAGATGTATTTTGACGCTATCAAGGAAAAGGTTCCGAACTCTACTGTTCTGATTACTCAATAGTAATAATAGAAGATCAATTTGCAGCAAGCCACCAACACTTCTAGTGACTGTATATGTTTTTATAATAAGATAAACGATCAATTATGGCCATGCTATCTTCAGAAAGATTGGCAATAAAGGAAATGTCCAAGGTAAGAAGTGGACACTTGCCTTTATAAGAAAGTACATTGGTCCATTCTCATTTGCGCATCTTTCGGTAGTGGTAACCCAGTGGGTAGGTCTGTGTTGGTTAAAAACGGTTAAAATTCACCCAGGTTAACCAAGCATCCCATTCTTCCAGGACCTCTCGCTGGACAGCACATAGGATGAGTAATGAGTAACCGGCTCCGCCCACTTACTCGGTCAGAAACTGCCTTATTAAGGTGATAGGGGTGTTCTGTTGCCAACACATTTCTGAGCTGGAGTTCCTGAACGGTGGTGGCTCATCCTAAAACATTTGTCCGAGAGCGGTTACAAATATTTCGCTAGCATCTAAGGGAAGAAGTCTGGACCAGCATACGGTATAGTACCCCCGTTAGCAACAGAAATCATTACGGACCAATGACTTCGTAGATCTTCTTCTCAAGTGTTCGTCAATATATCCGAATATTTACCGACAACGGAAGCAGCTGGTGTGCACACCATCGAAAAACAACCGTTTCCGGACTCACTGGGACATTCTGCTCCCACTGGATTTGTTAGCGGTTTCGGCATAAAATTGGTACCAGACGTAGAAAATGTCATAATCCCCGGAGGAAAAATCAGAGGTAAAAATAAGATGGTTCGGAAGACTGTGATACGTCTACCAGCCCATACGGAGATTGCATTCAAGAAGGCAAAGACGAGGATTACATTTATGTCACCAAACAGTACATCATGAAGGTAAGATGAAAATACTACTTGTTTGTTTGATTACCTATGTATTCGTACTCTCTAAAACGTGAAAACAAATCAACTAAAAATTAGATTTGAGGAGAAATGGAATAAAATGAGAAAATGAAAATTCAATAATCAACATGTCGCCGGGGTGGATTGGTGTCGATTGGGGCCTCTACCGCACGGGCGGTCTAGTGGTCATGTGCCGAATCGATGACCCTTCCAGATCAACTCAACTTTAGGGTTCAGTTTAATGGGAACCAGACCTGTATGGAAGTAGGAGAATACTCAGTTCTTGATTGGTTTGTACCCGCAAATCACTGCTTGGTCCAAATATTTGGGTGTGAACTCGAAACGCTCCGGCGATTTTCAATGGAAGTCAAATGTGAGCGTGTCCTTCCCAGAACGGTATCCATAATTTCTGAAAACTGCCGCGCCTTCATTACCCACTCGGTCAGAACCATCAAAGAAAGTCGTTCAACTGAGAATATTTTCTTACCACTACAGTACAAATAGTAACTTCTGAATGGATCTTCTCTTTACTACTAGGATTTACGAGAAAAGCTTCGGGGCTGCCAGCGAAGTGTTGCATTCAGAAGCACTTGCCCACAACATGCGGTGGTGGTGATACACGTTATCCACCTTTCCGTAAAACTAAGAACTACCCTGTTGATGACCCAATCAAAAGTGAGTAAGCTTTAATCAATCGATTCAACAATTCCAAAAAAACATGGTTTAATAAAAATTGCGCATCAAACCCGACAAAAATCGGGTCTATCCACATCTGTTGGATTGATTTGCAAGTGCAGCTCTTACAAAGGCTCTCAAAACCAGTAAGCCTACGTGGGACAATCGCAGGTGAGGCTGCGAAAAAAACGACAGAGGGCACCTACGGATGAATCGCCTTCCATGACGAACATCTTTTCATGTATCTATAATCCAGGGGAATGCCTGAAGCGAGAAAAGCAATACTCGCACGATATCTGAAGACATTGAGTGCGAGTGTCGGCAACCGTGCAGGTATTCACTCACTTTTCAGCCGTTGGCACCTGTTCGGCCACTTATAACATCTTTTGGAATTTTTCTACCAAAATAATATTTTCAGCCAGGATGTCTATTCGGTGTCCTATTCAGCTTCTCGTTGGCCAGCCGTTCCCGGTGGCCTAAGTGGCTGTCCAGAAGGAATGGCACCGCACCGCTGTTTAGCGTACAAGAGGTCCGAATTTAAGCAATCGTCTTCAAATGGGCCTTCACAGAGAATCGATGTCATCCAACACCCCTGTTTCGTAAACGTTCTTGCTAATGGCCTTCAATTTGGAGGAACCAAACTAGAGGTCTCGAACCGTTATAAGGAAGAGTGATGACTGCGTTTTTTTGATGCTCGGCAAGCCTAGAAAGGGTCAAACATTCCAGAACTATCCCCCTCAAATTTTCCTTTTACATGCGAGTCCCCTTCCCTCATACCCACAATCTTCAGAAAAAAGGTAGCGGTGCCAAGATGCGCATATGAATCGGAATATTACAATCTTTTGTAGTTCACCAGGTCCTCTTCTCCTCAAATGGGTTCCATTCTCTTTTCTTTCTGCATTCTCTGGCATCTTATCTGGCAATCGAGGCGAAAAGAAGGGTAACATCAATCGATGGATGCAGCCGATGGCCTGGACCGGAAGGACCGACCCCTTTGCACTTTGAACTTTGAACCCCAAAATCAATCACGACATTTGTGGAACACTCCAGTCCAGCGAGGTGCTGCGGGCCAGATAATGAGTTATTATAGAACTACTTTGAAGGTTTTCTGAAGAGAGATNGCTGAAAAAGAAGAGCAACAATCCAACTAGTAGGCTCTTTCATACTTTTCAAGGAATCTCAAGAGCGCATGACTCTCACTAATTGCAGGATTCCTAATTCAGATTGAAAGAGGAATCTATACTAACATCTATTCAGTAGCACCCCCACATTCAGACGTTCAATGCCTATTGAACTTGACTGGAACCTACATGATACTAAGTCCAGCGTTGGGTTCGGGCAGAATATTACCCAAGGTGACTTTGATGTAAGCGATCTCCGAGCTACTTCACGTTCTTCCCTCTCCTTAAATGGCGTCTATAGCTCATCTATGGCAGTTGATTATGCGAGAGATTTGCAAAAGTGGTACGGTTTCAGCGTCAGACCCAGGGTGATGGATCGGCAGCTGGGGAAGCTCTGTCACGACAAAAAAAATCTCTTGAGCGATCCTTGATAGGAGTAAGACAGCCCATGTAATGGCACTCAGGATTCTGGACAAAAGCTGCGAAGATTATGTATGTGAAGGCTACCGAGGGGTGGACATCTTCGTTGAAGCAGTTGAATGGGATCAGCACGCAGTTGGATGGGATTAGCACTTAAAACGTCGGATAGCCTACGAAAAAGTCCTAACCGATCTACCAACCATGAAGTAACAGTGAGTAACACTGTAGAGGCCATTTCACCTGCTATTGCATGCACCCCTCATAGTCCTACAGAAGTAGGAGGAGCTATGGTTAGACAACCCACAAATAAGCCTTTTCCAGCTTACAATGAGTGCTATGGAACTTCGAAATATCCATCGTTTAACGGACCATGCCTCTAGGCCAGCGCATACGGATTGACACGGCAGACAATACTGATAAGAGGGTAATGGTGGCTCTTTATCAAAATCATCATCATGCCTTTTCTCTTGCTTCGAGACCAAAAATCGGTTGAATGGGTCGTAATATTGCAGGGAAGATGAGCAGCCATCAATGCGGATGCGATTGAGTGCTCATTTAAGTACTGAGTTCTCGCAACATTTCGTAGGCTCTCTAATTCCGACCAAAATTTCTCTCCACAACCACATCCATTCCACCCGAGCAGATATTTAGTAACTACTGTTGAGCTTTACTGGTAAGTTATATGAGAAGAAATTCAGCGCCTAGATGGGCCCGTAACTCGAACGTTGGACTGCTTGGATTCCTGAGGAGTTTACTATGATACGTGCTCACAGTCACTCGAACTCTATTCACAGAAGCTGCACAACGGTCGTACAGAAGTAAATCCGAGAAGGTGGATTATGTTAGACTTCAAAGTTCTAGTTCGGTTAATCATTCCTCAAAAACAAAACCGGCTAAGTTACCTTCACTAATTCCCACTGTACTCTCAGGTCGCCTTCACTACAGTTTCTGAATTCCTCTCATAATGATGATGATGATTTTAATCGATTGAGCGGAGCTAATAAGTAATCACTGCATAAATCGTTCCAGGATTATATTGTTTGAGAATTTGACTAACAGTTGGTGAACCTCACGACCCCCTCTGGGCATCCCATACAGTCAGTTTTTCTGTGACGGCACCATCGTTCCACCAATGGTCCGCCAAAATTGTGCACTGGGTCTGTAAGAAGCCCTGGCGGGAAGCCATAGCTGTACTAGATTACTCACTCAGTCAGGGCCGGTTATGCGAGCTCTACTAGTCCAGTTCGCTGTCGGGATTATTACCAAAACAAGTATATGGGCAGAATTTCGGCCCTGTTTGGAAATTGAACCCGTACCCTTGATCCCTTACAACACCGAGACCCTCCTTCTCAATGGTTTCCTTGCGATGGTGAGGTTTTGCCCATAACTCGCCAATCTCGTGAGATTTTCGGATTGGATACTACGGTACAAAACAAGAAATACAGTACAATACTTATGGACAAAAATGAGAAAGTTTGATTACCTTTTTCAGGAAAATCTCTGTGAAAGGTAAAAATCAGTGGAACTCGAAGAAGTTCAATAGGATACGCCGCACAACGTTTGCTCCCACAAAACCGTTCAACGAGCATTAACATTTTCATTTTCTCTCAAGAAAAATTAGTAAAAATAAAAATAATAAATACAATTCACCTAAAAACATAACGCAGCCAACAAACATTATGAACGATGGCGGTATCTGTGGTGAAGATCAACAGCGACTGACTGATTTCCGGTATCTTTGAGATGATGTGCGCACTCGCCGACCACGTCCAATCAATATCGATCGATATTCGACGAGCGAGGGTAGCTACGGTAATGAGCGCAAATATCTGGGGAAGGGCATAAAATCACAGCACCAAATACAAAAAGAGGGGAAAACGGCGACTGAGCGACGCTTTTTAGTAAAGGCCTCTCTACAGCAGACAGATGTTACGGGAGTAGAATAAGGGTGATCAATAAATCAATAGAAAACAATTATTAGTCAACTTAATTCAAATTAATATTAACATAGCAACATTTGGCAGAATAGAGGGCGATTTGTAATCAATCAATAATCAATAATGAACATATTAGACCACATAAAACAATCAGTCAGAGCGCACAATAAAGCAAAAACATAAAAGCAATTTAGCAAAGCGATCTGAGTATGAGACAAGGCATGAGAAATCAATCGGTAATGATCAGTCGCTTTAGGACCTCAAAACTACTTAATACAGTATAACAAGGCATTGTTTCCAACAGTACCGGACGACTAGAACCTATCAGAAGGCAGAGCACAGCGGGTCAGGAAAAGGGTCGCTTGAGAAGGGACTGTAAATCGGGGTGAGGCAGTTCTCAGATTATCAAGAATCGTAGCTGAAATACTGTCGTTGGATTGTTTTCATGATTCTGACCGCCCAGTGAACGCAGAACGTGAGCATCGGTTAAGCGCGTAAAATCGATACGCATTTTGAAGTACACGGGGTGTGTCAGGGTATGAAAACAATCTCAGAATGTGTACGTGTGAGAGAGAAGACGGTAAATATCATGAGCTACCCGCATTTGTAAACATGTAGATGAGACGACAATAACGGCAAGTCTCTATCTGAGAAGAGATTAGGAATAAACGAGGTCGGGGTCGATCAGAAGTGCGTAATCATAACGGAGAGATACTGACGATCTCCGTTACCGTTGCTGGATTTCGGTTGTGGTTGAACGTCCATATGCTGCCATTCGCCACCTTCACCGGCTTTCAAAGAAAATGACCATTGACCATCAGCATCTACTGGACCACAATGTGGTAGCCGAAGTTCACATGGCGTCAGGAAATTAAGTCCTGAATGGGCGGGGTTTGTCAAAAATGATATCAGTTGCTCTGAAATTCGGAAAAATTACCTTGTGGTCCACACATCACAAGTGGAGATAGCAATGTTTCTCCTTTGGATTTGTCGATTGGCGGCGAATCACCATCACGACAAACCTGCAATGAGACAACTCCTTGATGAGTCACACAAGTCACGCCCACCACCCCAAAAGCCACGCCTACTAGAAACCAAAGCCATCACCTACGATGGCTCATCCACCTTTCACAATCTTCTGGATTGGAAAAGAATACCAAATCCTGAGATTTGAATTGAGCGAAGAAGAGGGGTGTACGAAAGATGAAGTACTCGACAAAATTAGCCCCTTCGAAATGCGCCGTGGATTCTTGTTCGGCTAGGAATCGATGAAGGGATTTGGCTGGATCGATTTCTCAGCGATACGTCATGCATAGAAGCTTCACCCAAAACTGCCGAACCCTTTAAACACTCCAACTAATACTCACCTTAACATAAATCTCATGCGATTCACCCGGTGGAATTGCCCCTTTTGGAATTCGTAGTTCGACACCGGAAGCTGGACAGTTCAGCACTCCACCTTCATGACCAATTACCGCATTCGTCTCTTCAACTATTGTCGGATCTTGAATCTGAACATACGAGGAGTACAATTCTCAGCAAGTATACGGTAGGAATTCATTTCTGAATCAAATCTACATTGGCAGACCTGGAATGACAAATTTACTTTGGAAAAGTTATTCATAAGTCTAAAATATCTTACATCTGACGTAGACATCGCCGTATTCTCAACACTGTTACGTTCCTTATGGTTCGGCATGTCTTCTTTTCGAGGGCTACGATTCCCGTTGGATTCCATTCGCTTTTGGTCGGATGTCTGACCGTTAGTGTTGTTGCTCGTCGATGAATTGCCATTTGGAAGTCTAAAATAATTAGCTATAGTGGTCCACAGGATGTTGAGAAGGCTGCCCACACAAGCCCAACTGTGAGAAACTTAGGTTAGGCGTATACAGGAGGAGGCCTGATCCGTTTGTAGAATCCGTTCTTGGCTAGTTGTCTCACCGTACGCCTCCCTAAAGTCATCCCCGAAAGCAACTCCTGGGAAGTTAGACGGGGCGGCCATGGCAGTAAAACTGATAGGTACAATCAGGACGAACCCATTAGTGCCAGACTGGAGGGTCGAGTTTCGAATAGGAGGCACAGGTGCTGATGTTACACTGTTCGAAATCAAACTTGGCGAATCCATACGAGATATCGGCTCCGGCGTGACACTGTCTTGCCAACGATTCCTGGAACAACTAGACTTTTGAAAATTACAATGTTTTCAAATCAACAAATAAAAAAGATTTTTAAGGAGTTCTCTCGTATATACTGCTCACTAACCGTACTACGCTGTCGGGGTAGAGTTGAGGTTTCGGAGCAATCGACGGTCGTGCTGAGCTTGGTTGTGGAAGTCCACGTGGGAAACGCGGAGGTGCAGAGGAGGCGTTGGTATCGCCTGGGTGGCTTGAAAATGTGGAGCCAACTTGTGGTGACGGTTTTTCTTCTCGTGGCGAGTACATGTCCGGGTTAGGTGGTTGCAATGGCACCTGGAACAGCTAAGGTTTCAGGTTTCTACCGAAGAATAATTTCACAAATTTCTGTTTTAAGCAAGAGCTACTCAATCTGATCGGACACCCCTACCCTTCCCCCACACTTTAATATCTTTAATCACATTCGTGTTCATTAAACATGTATATTGTTAACTTCAAGGAGAGGCAAGAGGCGTACTATCATAAGCATGTGCTCAGGGGCAAGCCCCGGATCGGTACACTCCCAGACCAACCAGGCCTTCCTTCCCTCCAGGGTAGGCAATAGGTAACAGACCCGTTTGGGAGGATAAAAGCACTGAATTGTACATCGGCTGCCACCATAAGACTTTGCGCAGGCCAAATTCGCCGTCAGTATTTCGATGGAAGTAAAATGCGAGGGAACCTTAATACTTCTAAAAAATTTTTCAAATTCTCAACAAAATATGGCGAAATTTTATTACAATTACTTTCATGAGGATGTGCCTGAACTCAAACGTGCAATTATGGGAGGGAGACTCGTGAATAAAAACAAATTTTGATTCCAATTTATGATCCTTATTCATAAACCAGATAGACTCTATCTAGAGGTAGAGTTACTCTAAAATTCCTACTTCTTGACCTGGCTCTACTCAGGTATGAAATTCTTGAAACGTAGAAAATCCTCTATGGAATGTGAAGATTATTTAAAATTGTATTTTTCAGCTACAGATAGAATTTATTCCAACCGAGATGGTACGGAGCAGAACTACAGTACAGTAGACCAGCCAAACGAACCTGGGGTCTATCATGCAGTCGTTGTTCACCTCGTAATCGATCATCTCTAATTCTTGCCTCTTCCCTAAGACGTACGTTAGCAATCTCATTTGCCAGTCGAGCATCATGATACAGAGAGTCATCATTCAACAGCTTAATAGATCGATTTTAGTATAAGTACAGTAGACTCGAAGTTAGCTCAGGAGCCAGACCACCCACCTGTTTGACGTGGTAATAGCCCGGAGAGCTTGGATGGCGTCCGTTAGGGGGTGGTTCTAAAACAAACAAAATCATACCCAAATTCGAGTAAATCGGCAAAAATGGGTGAAAATCATGTTAGTCGACCGAAACTACCCCTCAGCCAGTGAATTATTGTTACTAGTTAATGCATTATCAAAGTGTAAGTGTGAAGTTGAGACCCAAAGAAAGCGAAAACTCATTTTAGACACTCAAATCAACAAAAATTAAAATTATCAAAACACAAACAGTTATTGTTAAACATTGAACATCAAAAAACAACACCGATGACATACACACCGTGCCCGTTAGTCAGCTGAGATGACGTTGGCTCCGTGCTGGCCGATTTGGCCGGTGAGATAGGAGCCGTCTGCTGAGGTTGTGGCTCATCCCATGCTCCATTGTTGGATGTACGCAATCCAATTTGGTTAGTTGGCAGTGAGCCACGCTTCGTTTGTGGTGGGTTAGTGGAAGCGCCACGCACATCGGCAGCAATCATTCCTTGTGAGCGATGGGGTTTCTCTGGTGCTCCGGCAGAAGCATTTCCACCACCGCCACCGTTGCCGCCAGCTGCACGACGTGGTAATGTTACCCAACCAAATTGAGCATTTCGAGCTAGCTCACTTAAATGTGGCGATTCCAATGATGATGCTCCCATCGATTGACTGTTGTCCCAGTCGTAAATAGACCTAAATAAGATCCCTATGAGTAGATATCACAACTACAAAAAATACAACATCAAAGGATCAAAATCGTTCAGAGGCCGTTGAGAATTGATAGGATCTGCTTTTTTTATGAATCCAACGTGAGAACAGCAGGGCTCAGGAGAATCCTCGTGACATTTTTCAACTTATTTCCGTCTTGGCAACTGACTTCAACATAAAAAAGCAAGAGCCCGGCCAACCAATTTTTCCTACTCAACAACGTGCAGGTGCAGGCAATACAAGGGCATTATCGGAAATTTTATGGGACTACAAAAAATTGATCTTCCACAATTTTCAAATTTAGTAACTCTTAGAAAATAATATTTTTAAGTTCATGTAAAACTGGAAAAAACTTCGAAGTTTCTAGAAAAATCGGGGACTTAAACTTCCTACCAACAAAAAACTAATGGGCGAAGGTGGTGTAGGGGGCAAGTGGCGCACTTTCTCACAGACATGGCTGCGGGTTCAAATTACGGACAGTTATCCGCCTACGCCACTGGGAGGATAAAGCATTGCCTTGTACATCAGTTGGCCATCGCACATCATGTATAGGTCGTATACGCGTTCAAAACGCCACTAAGATTTTAAATTGAAGTGGAATGCGGGGCGCAACACCCAAACGGGATTGACCGACGCCAAAAGACTTCAGAGACTCCAAAGCAAAGGTTGTGGTCGAAGCTATTTCTCACCTGACCATCTGTGGTGGTGGGCCACCTCTTGTCACACTGTCATCCCTATGACGCATTGAATAGTCCGAATAGTCTCCTTTCAAGGACTCCATATCCGAATCGTAATTAATACCCCGTGATGACAATGGGAACAGCAATACCTATAAAAAATTAGATATAAAAAGTCAACAGCAACAAAACTGCGGCATGCGAGCAGTACTCACGTCCTCCAATGGCAAATTCGGTGGGAATTCTGGCATCCATAGCCGTCGTTGTTGTAAATGGATAACCAAATCACGCAATGCATCAAACCATGACTCCTCATTAGTCGCGTCTACGGTCGCTAAAATGCTAGGAAAGTATAAAAACTGTCTTCTGACCCATCTTAAACGCGATTTATGATAATGAATCGATTTTCACTGACCAGACAACAAATGAGAATGATGCTTCTTGATCTGACTCGCTTGTTCAGCCAGCTTTTTCGACGAAAGGTGAGGGGCATTCAGCTAGAAGGATTAATTGTAAGGTTGTTTTGGTTTTTTTAAACCATGACCTAATTATCCAAATACTTCAGGTGAGGCCAAAAGTCTGCTATGTCGAAAGAAGGCCCGTTTGAGGGTGGAATTGATAATTGACGGGGAAACATTCATTTTTTTTNTTTTTTTTATAAATCACCCCTACTCCCCATGTGTAACAGTACCAAGTCAGCAGGTTCGTTTCCCATAAGTAATTATTTGAAATCTCCCACTCGAACCCCGTTACCCATACACATACATGATACAAAGCTTCCTGTGACCACCGTATTCTTCACGGCTGATGGAAGCCAATCATTTTACGAATGTAATATAATTTTATACCTTTTTACGAATTTCTCGAATTCGTGACCTTCCATCGACATCGATCAGAACTACAATGGGGGCGTATTGAGCTAATTGGAGTCGTTCCACCTGCAAATCAATTTTGAACCCGATGAAATTCATTTGAGTATCAGGTAGTAAAGTATTCTGAACCTCTGACCATTTGTCACCCCAATGCTTAGAAACAGAGCCCAAATTTTGAAAAACTTATCCAACAAGTTTGTATACATCTGCATTGATAAGAACCGATTTGGAGTCCAACTTTGAAGTAACGTGTGTAAATAAACTTCTAATCGAACAGTGTCATATATCATTAGAAAGACTGACCGATTCCAAGCTAATGTCCAGAACACAGTGTTTTCCAGATGCGATTACACTGTCGAGGGCCGCAAGACGGATAACTCCGCCCCCTCCAGCAGTCCCGCCTCCACCGCAATAGTCGCTTGGTGACGGTTCAGCAAATCGAGTTGGAAATTGCGACAGAAGGTATGACCTAGCCACGTCTGCTAACGGTCCGAAAAGGACCACCGGCCTGGAAATGAGGGGTTGAGTCCTTCAAAGGTTTTTGGCAGAGTAGAAGGGCCTTAACCAAATAAATTTGATAGTTACCGGTGAAAGCTAGGCGTATTCAGCGCCACACGCTCATAGGCCGGTGGTGGAGCACTTGAAGAAAGCTCAGTTGGATCGGTCAATACATTCTTTGTCAACGACTTCGTCCGACGAGATTCCAGTTTCCGTCGGAGTAACGTGCCTCCTCGTCCTTTTGTTTCCGCTAATCGACGCTGTTCACGTGCTAATGACTCGGCGGTAGCCTAAAATCGCCCGGATGGTAACCTATTCGCAAAAACCTTCTACAGAACAAACTTGATATGTTTAGGTAACCCACCTGATTTGGGATCACTCCTTTGGGTGGTTCGCCTTTATTGGCATTGGCAGAATAGACCCTAGACGCTTGCCAAAGACCGACCGTACCGCCGAAAAGGGTATCCGTGACATGGAAAATGTCACCTTCGCTCACCGACAACTCCAATGGACTTGACTTCTTCTCTTTTGTGAAATGCGACCTGAAATTAGTTACTCAGGCCCAAGAAAAGAGAGGAAAGAGAGGTCAAAAAAGCCGCATCAAGCGCAGTGGGTCTAAGGAATGTGCGTAGCGAAAAGCTGGTTCGGAACCCGATAGGAGCCACAAAGCATATCATGTCTTCAAGCTTCGTTTGGGAGGTAAAAAGTAATTGATTCGAATATCAGCGATCGATTGGGACAAGATCGATAAAATCAATGATTAGAAAATGAACTAAACTTAATCACCTGTCTCCTTTGAGGGTTCCACCGGAACCCGAGGGAAAATAAAAAAATTATCAACCTTCCAAAAAAAAATCCCCATTTTTTCAAAGGAATCGGCCCCTACTGAGCATGTCCAGCATTGCTGACTGCAATATGACCTTGCCATTTCTCAACTTGATAAACTACCCTCGTTTACACCTCTCTCAAAGCACTTTAAGTGCAATTCCTCTGCAGCAAGAAGCTCCAAACACTTCAAAAAATCAGCAAAAAGTGTAAGAAAGTAAAAACTGAAAAGTCAAAAAATTAAAAAAAAAAACCTGATGTAAAAATTATCTCCCAGTTGACTATTACGGACATGTTCGAAATCTTGTCTGGCGTGTTCTAATCGTAATGAGACATGATCATCGAGTGCTAGGAGCAGTTGAACAGCCGACTCCCGAGTCACACCGCGCATCGATCGACCATTTACCTGAAGAAGATAGGTATTGATTGGCCATCATAATCCTTCACGGCACAGTAATGGAGGGAATGAAGATTCTCTTTTCTACTCCCACAACCTTTCCGCAGACCACCCTGTCCCAGACCGATCCAAATAACCTTAGTTTAACATGGCACTGAAAAATTGCCACTAAAAAAACGTTGGTTTTCACCTCTACGATACGATCTCCACAACAGACACCGTGCAGCGCCGCCGGTGAATCGGCCGCTACAGCCGAGACGAAAATTCCGACTTCATTACCACCGATCACACGAATTCCAACGCTTCCGCCGACCTGCAAGTAGGTAATGACTGTTTGGGTAACTGATCTCCCATGAGAAAATAAATAGAGCTAAAGTAAGCCATCAAATGATAAAGTTTTGTCTCAAGCTGCAGACTTTCATAGAGCAAACCGGCATCTCACACCCAGGACTGATTCAATGGCTGAATTTGTCTCCATATCCCCTCTTACCCGTACACATTTCCCCACATCATGATCATGATGACTAAGTATGTTGAGTAGGATACCCCACTGAAGAAAATCGGTTGATAAAAACAGATCTCACCTTCCGAAAGGTCACCGTCCTTACACCGTTCTGATCCGGTTTTGGTTTCTGCCTACTGTAGTATTCATATTCTCCCACTGGCATTGGAAACGGTTGTGATGGCATATGGGTGCCTCCGGTTGAAGGGGGATTTCCCATGGAGACAGCTCCCAGACTGGATACCGCCGGGCTTGATACACGACGTTCGTCCACCAAACTGCCATCACGCCAACGTGGTGAGTTGATGTATTCGTGTGAAGATCTGAAACTGAACAGAAAATTCAAAGGGGTTCAGAATTTGAGGGCACCATTCATCCAACCAGAAGCGAATACCGCGGGGTAGCTTCGGATTTCCTGTATTGGACATTTTCTACTTCCCGACGGGGTGAAACATGAGATCCAAAAATTTTACGAAATGAAGATTCAAGTTGAAAACAAGGAGCGCATTCTCATTCTCTCTACTCATCACTCAGTTAAGGCTAACCCCCGTAATCGGAGCGTTTAGCCATGTACCCAAGCTTTCACCACATGAAGCCTATTACTCAGGCTCACTTATCAAGCGAATGAAATGAAGACAATGAACCCCACAGTTTCGAACTTGGGCATTGACACTTGATGTGTACCCAGTCAAATGACCCTTAGACTAGAGTTTAGTGGAATTTTGGATGCTTGGCGCATACCAAAATGGTCCATTTGATAGCTAGTCTACAGTCTATATTATGGAGTGTTAATTTTCAAACGGGATCAGATTTAGGGGGTTTATAAACAAGATATCAAACTGAAGCTCAGTCCCATGAAATTCACTTCTCACTTACCAAGTACCTGCCCATGTTTATATATGAATAAGCCAAAGTGCATCGAAATGTCACAACGATTCCCAGGTGAAGTCAAATACATGGCGCATTCCAGGAACAGCCGATCAACTTCTCAAGCCTCAATGATCAGAATGTATCCCTTCATTGATTTCATCAGGCTTTCCCTCATTTCTTGTTATCATACACTGCTATTACAATTCCGACGCCGTTCTTTACAACCTCTATTACACCCCGTAATCATGCGTAACGGAGGGATATAATTCATCTGTCCTGAAGTTTCCGAGAATGTGAAACCACAGCGGGACGGGACGTTCGGCATTGATGAATTATACGAATAGTTATACGTATTGTAGGGATATTGGAGCGATCAGTAATTCGATATTTAAAAAAGAGAGGAAATTCCATAAGTTCCGCTACCTCGAAAAATCAAGGAAAACAAGCTGTCGAAACAAGAAATAGCGATAGGGCTCAAAAACCAGCATTCCAGCACACCTCAATTTCGTGTGAAAAAAACAGAGTATTGATTTATCGAGCGCAAAATCAATGACGATTCCAAACTACACGCACTTCTGACTTGGGAAAAAGAGGCTCACTTGGTAATGAGAAGAAAAAATCACTCGAATGGGTAAGAATGGATATTCCAACCTAATCTCTGGTCATTTCAAGANAAGAGTAAATATTAAAGTCATCATTCAACTGAGACCATTCAACCATTACGCCACATATTTTATATGACTGTAATAAATTCTACCACCTTCAATAACTTCTTTGAATACTAACCTTTGTGATAGTGGTTGATGCGGAACCATAGGGCTCGGACTGTGTCGCGGCGTTGCCGACACCGAACCCACCCGTTCATATACCGTATTCTGACTAGGCCATCTGCTCGTCCCACGACGAACATCACGCTGTATCACTAGGCACAATTTGTCCCGTGACCTGAAACAAGGAAAGTACCATGAGAATTAAAACAAGTACCGTCGAGAAAAAGCTTGAGTGATCCATTTTTACTTCACCAATCCGAAAATTAACTCAGAATCACCGACCTTGGTTCTTAGGAGTGAAGAAGGACTAAAAAATAACTGTCAAAAAGAGGGAAAAATAGGAAAGAAATAGAAAAGTTGCAGATGTCAACTACAACTTTGAAGAAAATTTTGAATGTCATTCACTACGACAACCCTATCAACACTATACTAACCTCAGAATTATAGATGAAATATTGAGAACGATCATTACCTTTCAAGCCATTTATTCACTTCTTCAAGCGTCGATCCATCTACACTTTGACCATTTATTCGAAGAACTGAGTCACCTTCTCTTAATCCTGGATCCTGAAACCAAAAACAACGACACTGTACTTTCACCCACCCAGTACAGTAACTTTTGGACAATATCCGAGAAAACCCCAAAAATGGTTGCCACCCACCTTCTCTGCCAATTTCGGATTTCGAATCTCCTTAATATAGAATCTGCAGCCTAACACAATTCCAAAATCTAAAAAAGCGAAGTAAGGTTGAAGTCGTTCCGAACTATCCATTTATCGACTACATATAAAATTAACAAATAAATAATGTATCAAAATTTAATTGCTTGGAAAAAATCGATCAAATCGATCAATAAATCTCTACGCGATAAAACTGACCGTCTTTTTTTCTCGATTTAGACAAAGTAAATTTTAATGTGCGCTGCTCGAATTCCATAATAGGCATCGCTACTCTTCGTTTAACAATCTGAAAACATTGCAATTACTTAAATAGGCGATGAGTAAGCATAAACAAATTGAACTCAAACAGAACAATTCTTTGTTTAAAACAACATACGTAAACAATACAAAATTATGAGGGGTTCATTTTAGGCTGAAATTCAATTTCTTGTTGTAAGAAACGTCAACGAATACCTCCATTCTTATATCACTCATATTGGATCGAAAGCTTCTAAAGAAGTCTTAGGAACCTTTCAGCACCAGCTGCGGCAGCAAAAATAGCATTTTCAAATAATTTTACAAAAAGCTAGGCCATTCATACCGTAACCACCCTCGTAAACTGTAATCATATTTAACAAAATGAAGTTAATGAGAGTTATGTAAGGGAGAACAGAATCGGTAGGAACCAAAGACGGTGTCAAAGACTTGAATGGTGCACAACTTTATCGACTTTTATCGAAGTCACAGACAGCAGTACGGAAAAAGGGCCAAAATTCGGTTCAATCAACCCATAGCAGAGTAAAGTCAGATTAATATGCCAGTGTGGACTCTATTAACCTCCCTGTTAGGATGGATCGTTGTTAGAACTTGATAGCTGAACGGGGTAGAGAGAAAGAGTGAAGAGTTGTCCAAGATGTGCCATGACACTTCTCGACACCTCTTAACCATAACTATATTATCTCCATGCTCGCCCTCAAAAAACACTGACCACTGATTGAGTAAACTAAATCCATCCAACACCGAAAATACGGACACCTCCACCTCTCGCTATGCTTGCTTGAATGGAATTTCGTTCATCTCGTCACAAAACCAAAGACAACTTCTCAATTAGATCCTCAAAAAATTGCTGCCGACTTTTTTTTTTTAATGAAATCTTCTCACAACAACTTTTCCAGCTTTCCAGCTCCAGAAAATTGCCCGATTGAGAATTTCAGTCTTTATCAGATAAAACGTATGGAAACTCCTACACATCCCAACGATACCTAACATTTCAGTAAACTACTGCGATGGGTACTGCCAGCATGTGGAACGCTTCTTGGCAAGGCTTCACAATAAGGCCCTCATCAATGACCACCTGCTCTTTACAGTAATTATATGAACATGGAGAATGAGGTAATTTCTGTGGGTTCATATCGAGGAGAACCAAAAAACATGAAAGAGAAGCCCTGGTAAAAAACTTTCAGTAATAGGAACCTAACAGTTCGGTAGTTCGGCCCTGTCAGTTGAAAGATCCCTTTCCTGAAGATTACGTAACGAACCGGTGTGAGGTTTGCAGAAGGGGCTGGATTCTGGAGAAACCGTCACACCTGGATACAATTGAACCAACCCTTCCAGACCACATGCACTGAACAAACACACTAAAAGTGGATGCTCGACAAGCCCGTTGTACATTTACAACACTGTCTGATAAATGTGGCCACGACGATGCCAACTTCTCCACAAAAACTCTATCCCTAACGAGACTTGAACCCACGATTATGGTTTCCAAAAACCGATTTGATCTGTTAAAATCTCCAGCTTCGCTATTCATTGCTGAAATCGACTGACCCACTCAACTGCGAAAATACAGCCAGTAATAACCCATAGTGAACACTTGAAATATACTTCATGAAGTAGCTGAAGTGCGGTATACTGGCAAGTGGCGCACTACTACACAAGTATGGTCTGAGGATCGAATTGCGACCAGATGATCGCCTAAGCCAACCAAGCCTTTCGTTTCTCCGGGCCACTAATTGGTACCAGGCTTGTCTGGGAAGATAAAAGCACTGACTTGTACAACGACTGGCCATCGCAAGTCATTGTATGGGACACATACGCATCCAATACGCCACTACGATTCTTAATTGAAGTTACCACAAAAGAGATCGACTAAAGCCAGAAGCTTTATCTTCTATCCTTCTTTGAGAAGCATGGAAAGGATAGGAAGCCTCTCCAGTGGAGTAAGGACCGCTGTTGAAAAAGTTGTCGGGGGCCGAACTTCTTGATCATAATTCAACACTCTTGTGATAACAAACGCTGAACAAATAAATGAGATCAGCCTTTAGCGAATCAAATCGGAACCAATGAATGACAGAATTAAAATAAGTGAGCCAAATGGAAATGGAATGAGAATTTCATCTCGGACTCCTGGAGATCATCAAAAATTATCACTAGTTACTATTTTTACTGACAACCTTATACTTCAGAGATTTTATAGCTAGAAATTTTTTTAGGCAGAATTAATTCCGAGAAAAAAAAAACTAAAAAAAAATCAAACAGGCCGTAAAAGAAGCCGTAGAACTTCCCCAAACATAGCAGTAAGAGCAGTATCACAGAGAGGTTAAAATAATGGGAAACTAGTAATCAGGGAAAAAAAAACTTACCATATTGATGTGTTCCGCGTTCTTGATAATATCGACAGCGCTCGAATAGTCGATGCTCTCGAAAGAGACGCCGTTGGCTGAGAGAATACGGTCGTTTACTCTGAACAGAAAAAAAAACATCACGACATGATAAACGTCGATTGCCAGCGGATTTGCACTACTGGCCTGCTGCTGATTCCGCCGCTCCGTCCATCGGCTTTCTTTAATGCCGACGGCATAGATATTTCATGGATTATTTTCGCCTATTACACCTCTGTACGGCATATTTTATAGTATCGAAAAATTTGACGCCAATGTTGTAAACACACCACAATGAGCAACAGATGGCACTAGCGGCATTATGGTCTTTTGAAAGTCTCGGACTCGTAAAATTCAGAACAAATCTAGAAGTAATAAGTTATTGGTTCGATAATAAAAATAACATTTATGACAGCATGACTATCAGGCGGAGGTGGAGCAGCACAAAATAGTGCAAAACCACGCGCATGATCCAGGAATCGAATTTGGAATCAGTTCCCGCCTAGGTAATCTTCTCGGGATCAACTATTCGGCAACAGACTCGTCTGGGAGGATCAATGTACTAAACTGTACATTGGCTGATTACCGCAAGTCTATGCATAGGGTACATGCGCATTCAAACGTCACTACGATTCTGAATTGAAGTGAAATGCAAGGGCGCATCCCAAAACGAGTTCGATCGATGCCAGAAGGCTTTATCCATCAGGCTTTAAACTTTCTCCTCTAATAAGATGAAAAACTCAATCGATACTCGCATATGGCATACGAAATTTCTGACCACGATGAAGCTGGGGAGCGTTTACTGTAATTGAAACTAGTTAAACCAGTCTAAAGCATCTTGGCCGAGAAATGAGTAGTGACTTGATTGCTTGCCAGAAAGCGAAACAATTCGTTCTTCGATGATCTATCGTCGCAATAAATAGCTCGCATTAGTGACAGACCCTGCCATTTTCATACAATTACCATTCCTGAGTCGTACAGTGAAGAAGAAGGGAAGAGGAAATAATGCCAAAAATTCCCCCATGCCAGCAGGTTATAAATTGTGCAAAAAAAAACAATAGTTTTAAACGAACCAGAAGTCATAAGAAGCGCTTAATCCTCTACTATCCCCTATCTTCAGAACGTTCATCTCCTATGTACGTATGTGCAGATAAGAGTTAGGAAAAGATCCTCCTTTTAGACCGACTAAATTGAAAAATAATTTTTATCAATATGGAAATAAGGATAAAAATAGAAAAACATGGTGTTTTATTGTTACGTAACAAAAATGTGTTTTTGGGCTAAAAGCCGATTTTTTAAAATGGGATCTACTGTCACTCCATACGAAATATAGAAACATGAGAAAGTATTCAAAAATAAGTTGCAGCTGATCATTTCTGCAACTGGCTATCCAAAAAAATTCTAAAGATGTAAAAAAAGAGAAAATAATAAATAATCTTTCTTTTTCCCAATGTTGGGGCCCTTTAATGCCAAAAAGATTCTGGATTGTCACACAAAAATCCTTAGCCATCACAACTCAATCTTCTTCTATGCTATAAATAACACAAAAAATATTGGAGAGAGTCGACCCAATAATCGATTATCGCAATATTTACAACAACATTTTCCGTGACATACTAATAACAAGAGCTTAACTGATAGATAAAACAACCTCAGAAAGCGATAATCGAACAGTCTTAGGTGAGCTTCTCTACTTGCTTTATGAACCTCACAGAGACCCTCAGCAAGCAACCCACTTCAACAGGCAAACATTGCATATGAAGTTCTAACTCGTTCTCAAGTTACTGTAGCATTCTACCGGGATCCTTCCTCTGTTTACCAGTTTAGAAAACGATTTATCATCCTCTTACCCAACAAATCAGCAAAATTCCTTCCCTTCCTACAATTCAACAAAAAGTACTAATTGAAACAGCGAAAAAAAACTATCCGAGAGCACTCCCATTATTTTCTGCAATACTCATAGCCTGAAGCCCATTCTGGGCTACACCTTGCAGCGACTTTATCAGCGCTCCACTTCATAACTAAGGAAACTCAGTTGAAAAACCTCCAGTTATAATCCACGTCGGACGAGTGGAAGATTCTGCACCTTGTATATAACAACTGGCTAGTTCAAACTTTCCAAACTTTTCATTTCATCATTTTCATTTATTTCTCATTTAAGATTAAATCAATGAAATAATATAAATAATATCATTTCAATATCGACTAAAAACACTTTCAAAAATGGCGCCAAAATTCGAGAATTACTTTGAGCACTTTGGTAAATTGTGAGTGCAGCCAAATGATGGATTACTTTTGCTAGTTGGAGGATCTGGGTCGATGTTTACCTATCATGATGAAGTGGCTGTTCAGTTTTGCACATGAAAAGGTCAACTCAACACGACATTCATAGGAAAACCAGTGATCGCTCACGAACCAAGAAACATTCAAAAAGACCAGAGAATAAAACGAAGAAATAACGACAAAAAGTAGAAAAAGAGAAAGATAACCCACTGAAGCAGTCCCCAGGCTGGTCCGTTTGGTACGACGTCTGATATCACAACAGCCGGGTCACCAGAAGTGAAATGTGGATTATCACGACCACCTGAGACGGCAATACCGAAGCCTAGGGTGACTGCCTGCAACAAACAACTCGTCTAAACTGCCACGCCTACGCATGAACGTTACGAAAAAGAAGAACAAAAGTTCTTAAAAATCAATTACACTACATTACAACAGAGGATAGGGAGCACAGACTGCAAATAGGTTGGGAGAAAAAAGAATTAGCAGAAGTGTGGACAAAGCCGCTCACAGCTGCTCCAACAAAGTGACACCTTTCTCGCTTTCCTGAGGGGACTGACTTCTATCCCCACAACCAAAATAACCATCTTTCGTTTGTGCAATTAGCTATGGCACAACGTGTAGGAAGCCTATTCGAGGGCTATTAAACTTACGGAGATTGACGGATCAACATGAAACCAATTTCTAAAAAGAAAAAAAAAACGTCATGAGCAAGGCAAGGAACAGTCCCGGTACTATTTAACGCCGTTGAGCCGCCGGTAGTCGCCCTGGGGCGTCACTGTGTCGAATGAATTCCACCCATAAAACAATTCAGAACGATGATTCATCTTACAAATCAACACCATAAAGGTCGTTAGAAGGACGGTCGACGAAGGGCAACGTGCTGAAGGCATGACAGAAAAGGACCGCTTCCAGAGATAACAACAATTTTCAGGACCCCTAAATCACTTGGTCTCCAACGAAACTTTCAAGGGACCCTTGAAAAGGTCTATTTCAGCTGGCTAATTGCTCACGGTATCTGCACGCATACGAAATTGTCGTTCTCGGTTGCCGGCCAGATATCACAACGTACGAGGCAACTGTTCCACTCCGATGTCAGAGGTCATCAATCAATAACTATCACTTGCGTTTTAACCTCAAATCCTCATAAACAAATGTCCGCTGGTGCAATTGCACAGAATTTAATGAAGTCTGCTACCAAATCATTGAAGCGCTAATTGTATAAACATAGGGCTTAAGTGATGCACGCCATAAAGACAGTAGGTAAAGGATTCCGATGAAGACGCTTACTGAACTCCGTAAACCGGTACTTATTATTGAGCTCACTGTGGAAAGGACGAGAGCGTGGAAACAATTTCAAAAGTTATTTTCCCTGTAACAAGGTTAGCTACGAAGTCCATGAGACCTTTGAACTAAATTTGCATTTTCACTAATTGGACAGAGAGGCCACATCGTACTTTACTTATCCGTGGTTTAGGATCTCGAAAATTCTACCAGATCTCAGCATCCTACCGAGAAAGGATTCCAGAAGTAAATTAAGTAAATGACAAAAACCACTGGTTTAGTGGATGAGAGAATGAATGAGCTGAACTGAAATGAGAATCGGATGAGTCTGCCCTAGCGAGACCATGTGCATGTCCAATACTCACTCAATAACCTTCGAGAACTATTGTAAGTGGTGAATGCATGGCGCAGTATGGGGAAATTAACCAAAATTACATGTTGACCATGATCTCCTATGAGTTTTACCCTTCGCTACATGAAGGTCATTACTGGATCAACTCAAAAACAACAAAAATTGCGTCCAAAATTCCATGAAGGGCGCATAGTCAGATATACCAGTAAAGAGCCACAGAGATTCGAATGTTGCTCACCACTCCCCACTTCAAATCGATCTTACAATTTACAATAGTAAAGAAGGTGCCTAATGATATCTAATCACTAATCCCCATTATCTAAAATCACACGGAAATACCGAGGAAATGACATTTTTCCAAGAGCTAGCATCTGACAGCAACAAACTTGAAAAAAAGAGGAGCCTACTGGATGAATGTAACATTTCCATGAGGTTATTCCGCTCTCGCATTCAGAAGAATGAAAAATTGAGGGGAATTTGGTAGAGAGCCATTTAGCAAGGTAGACGGTGTCCATTAATGGGCGATGAGAAGCATCGAAATGTTAAATGGGCATATATGACTGAAACCAGACAGCTGGTCATAACAGGATGTCCGATGTCCGAAGAGGGACGAATCGTGAGGTCATCAATGAACGTACGCCTGTCGGAGCGATGAAATCGTAACGATCACGATTGAGTCGAGTATTCCAGTTTTACGGTCACAATGAGGATCAGCCAATTAATCAAATCATAAATATTGATCTTTTCGGCAGCTTAATTAACGGAAGCAAAGGTTCAATACAGAAATTTAAGTTCCAAATGCGAAACCGGCGAAATGGTTGGAGGAGCCACTCCTCAACCCCATAAAATTGGAACTTTTCCAGGACACCCAAACTTGGTATCCTTCTAGAGACAATCGGCTGATGCTAAGATTTTAGACGAATAAAAACATCGTCTTAGGCAACAGCTCATACCCGTAGAGTATTGTACAAATGTCATACCCATTCAATCACCTTCGCGATATATCAGAATGAAATGTATGCGGTGTATCCCAGATAGAATAACATCAGCACGACACCGGAGCATGCCAGCAGACTTTACAAGTAAATTTATTGTAACAACATAAAAACGACACCGCATTGCGATGATACCGGCAATTACCAGTAGATGAATAAACGAAAAACAAACAAATGGGGCCACCTGAGAGAAGAGCGACCGACTTCGGCTGAAAAATGCCGTAAAAACGATATCGCAACAACAGACTTCAGCCGAGCCGGCTACGCGCTACACCAGCACCGCCAGTACCAACGAAATGATTGATCATTACAAGTGGAACGAAGAAAAAAGAACTTGGCCACTTGAAGCGGACGAGATCCGTTTCGTAGTCAGACAATGGACGGAAAGAACGAGCACACACTTCAAAAGAGACCCATAGGATTTAGCAGTACACGTTCACAATATTAATGCCACCAATCGAAACACATATGCACTTTCACCAGATGGCAAAAGAAAAAGGGAAAAAATATTGCCCACTTACTCACATGTGGGAAAAAATCGCTACTCCCTCCCAAGAAAGTAATGAGCAGCGGAAGTTCGGGGTGAAAACGCTCACACAGAAATGGAGAAACGGCAAAGAAAAAAATCTCATTGCCCGAAGTCCTCGTCAGTCAGCTGCCATTACCATTTTCTACATCCTAATGAACCCCGCCTTCGCATCCCAAGAAAAACAAAAATGTAATTTCTACGACCCCTCTCAGTCTCGAAAATGTCCTATCCACGATGTTTCGGCCCCACACTGATCCCACATTGATCAAACAAAGCTAGACCCAATATAGATTACGTATCTGGTTTCGAATTAGAAAATTCATAAAAAAATTGCAAAAAGCAGGTCCACTCAGTCAATCAGTCTTCCTGGGCTGCGCCATGCACTTGTCTCCAATAAGAAATAGAGATTAGATGGAATGAAAACTCTGCTTGTGTCAGTCATTGGACTGAAGTGGCTAGCCGCTCATTTCAACGTTTCCAGCCATTCCAGCCTCGATCATCCCAATAAAGGAGATATTGGACTCGGATAGGATTCGATCTTGTCGCTCATACAAGCGTAGTGCTGGCGCCTCTAGGGAGTGGACCCATTGACAATTTGCATCAAAACTTATCACTTGATCTGAGAAAGGGTAAAGACGTCATATGCTTCTAGAAAACTTTGATATCGGAAGAAGCAGGACACCCATCACCTTGAAAACCAGTACGATTAACCCATGCATGGCTAAATATCGACGTCACTTCACTAGCATCATGTCTCTGGCATAAAAAGGCTTTCTTAATCAGAAGGTCCCACGCGGATATTATATTACGAGGCAGACGGATGCTCTAGAAATGGTCATAAAAAGGTCGCCATCCCGAACATGCAGCATATGAGGATGCCGAACAAAAAGGATGTAAGACGGCTGCATAGCTCTCCTTTATTCTCACTCGATTGAGGGGCTCATTTGTGAAGATCCTATTTCTGACAGGGTCCTTTTGAAGACAAGTTAGTCTCAAGGTAGGTGGGTAGCGTAAACCCAGAACTTTCCATTACTTGCCTCTCCCAGACATCCTAGAAATGAAACCGCCTGGGCTAGCGAATCATTTAACGTGGTCGCAACTGAAAGAACAAGTACCACTTACTTTTTACTCGAGTATGCTTGTACTTAGTAAGCCTAAAAAAAGGTCATAAAGCTGAATAGGATAGCTGCATTGATGGGAATCGAATAGCAAGACGTTAGTAGCCTTCGGACGATGACGACCACGACGACGAAACGGAACAATCTATCAAAGTCTCGATTTGACTGCTCCCAAGCCGAACGAACGTGGCCCACACGCAGCAGCCCTGACTGGCCAGTCGGCCGCCTTCCCGTCAGCTTCTTCGCAATTCGAGCCTCCTCGCTCTCGCACATTATTTATAGCGGATGTAGCACAACGGGCTCGTCCAATCTCACATATACACACCCATCCAATCTTGCTCATCATATAAGCCAAAAAGGCAGTGAAAATGGTCAGACCCTGAACAAGTTGCAAAATAGTCCGTTTTTTTTTTCAAGCCTACAGCAGACCTACTGTCCTTTGGGAATGAATCCTAACTTCGCCTTTTAGTTTTTCTTTCGCAAATGACGGATTGGTCCAGAACGTTCACAGTAACCTCTTAAAAATCCAGTCATCTTTAGCTTGTTTGTGTGTGAAAAAGATGGAATGAAAGGGATAACTTTCAAAAATTGGTCGGGACATAGCTCATCCCTTCAGATTTCAAGGATCAAGTTACATCAGTTACATGACGAAGTCAATCATCTTGGTAGGGTGGATTGGGAATGTACAGCCGACATTACAGCGAATTTCGCTTTCAGAGTTGGTTCGATAATGAAAACGTGCATGTGTTAAGCCCCACCTTCATCCGCTACAGTACAGTACCTCTATTACGGCTTGAGATTAAACAAACAAATAGAAAACAAGCCGAACAAGAGGAGAGGTCTGATTAATAGAGGCTAGAGAAAAACTTCAGGTAATTCTCAGATGAGGACTGAAGTGGAAGCCTCCCGAACTTGAACTTTGCTTTGCGGCTACAAACGACACCATCTGGATGAGCCTGTGGGCAGCTACTTATTGAAATAGAAGAATGAATAGCACAAAGGCAGTCAGCCGGATGGAAGAGCGTACAGCCTCACAGGATCGGTTTTCACCTAGAACATGGTAAAC